TACAAGTCAATAATGAAAGAGAATCATAACAAGAAAGTAGAATTTATAGAGTTGCATGGTCCAGGTTCTGACCATGTTATGACAGATGTTAGAGAGTTTGCATTCAGGAACTACCACGCCTTCGATCAGGACAAAGAGAATGAACTAATGAATTTATTGGGAGCACGACACAAGATGGCACGCAGCGTAGGATTCAAGAGTTTTAGTGAGCGTGAGTTGAGAAACACAATGGCAGGTTCACCTGAAAACGTGTCTAACTTTCTGAACAATCTTCACAGCGAGCTCAAACCTCTGGTTGACCTTGAGTTTGAGCACATCAAGTTCGCAAAAGCAGAAGAGAACAGACATGATTTCGGTGTGCCTAAGATATACCCTGGAGATGGTCAGTATTATTCTCGGGTACTAAATGAGCGGTGTTTAGTTGACAACCATAAGCAAGATATGTTCCTAGACATGCTAGAGTTTGAGAATGTTATAGAGGGTTTGAATGTTTTCTGTGAAGATGTGCTGAAAATATCCCTTGTTACGGAGGTACCAATGCAGGGAGAGCTAATAAACACTAACGTTGTAAAAGTTGGTGTATTTGATGATAAGGAAGGACTGATAGGCTACATTTACCTAGATCTGTTTGAAAGAGACAACAAAACACCCCGCACTTGTCTCCATACCATCACATGTGGCACTAAGACTCAGCTTCCTGTTGTTGTTCTACAGTGCAGTTTCTTAATGAATCCTAGGAAGCAGGAAATGGGCCAATACCACTACCATAGGATCAATCTAGACCAGGTGCAGACTCTGTTTCACGAGTTTGGACATGCTTTGCATGCCATTCTTGGGAGGACCACATACCAAGCTACCAGTGGCACCAGGGGTCCCACTGATTTCTCTGAAATTCCTAGCATGCTTTTCGAAAACTTTATATCCCATCCTGAGATCTACTACGCAGTGGTCAACCCCTTTGCCATCTACAGCGACTCAGATTTTAAGTTAGGCAGGAAGAACCTATTTAACACTCCTTACAGCGCCCTGAAAACTGAGACCAGTATACTTTACTCTCTGTTAGACCAGGAGTTACACTCAGATACCCTACCCACCTCCACTAACGAGATAGCAAACAAACTGTTCAGTAAATACTCGCACTTATCACCGTTAGAGGGCACTGCGTGGCATCACCGCTTTGCTCATCTCTACTTCTACGGGGCTAGATATTACAGTTATCTTTGGTCACAGTCCATTGCTAATCTTATATTCTACAATTTGTTCCATGATGATCCGTTCAATGAGAAAGCTGGGGAAAAGTTGAAGGAGTTTCTGAGACGTGGGTCTGGTACTGATTTTAAATCTTCGTTAGATGAACTGGTTGGGTATGAGTTTAGCCAGGATGATATGATAGCAGCTATTGTTGAGCCGCTCAAAGTCTTCAATAATTCTTATCTTGATAAGCAGGATATTTCTAAAAAGTGGTGGTAGTTTGTGTTACGGCTTTTCGGAGTAATAGTAAGGGGAAAAGTGGCATTCCGTTGGATTCGAATGTTCACAAGGATTTCTCAACGGAATATGGTAGTTAGGACCCCTACGAACATAATTAGACTTGTTGCCAATTTTGTATCTCAACGGAAACACCACTTTTACCACTTTTTACCACCTTTGTACCACCTTTCTGGTTTGCCAAATATCTTTAGTTGTGAACATCATAGAAGGCTGCAAATTAACCTAGAATGTTTATCTTATCAAGGAGTAAAACTTTTGTATCAAAAATTTTTACATCGGACAATCAGCTAATTGGATAATTACCAATTAGTTAATCACCAAAAAAAGTGAAAATTTTTTTATTGGCTTAAAATGATTTAAATCGTTTGAAACACGGAGAAATGTAGTTTTTAGAAAAACTTCAAAAATTTTTCACTTACAATTTTTTTTCGAGACTTGAAAAAAAGTTTGAAAATTTGAAAATATTTTTTTCCGCCAAAAGTGATCGAATTGCATGAAACGTGGATAAAAATGCTTTGCAGAAAAACTTCGAAGATTTTTAGATTGGGGAATACTAAAATCATCAATATTTGAAGTTGGAGTTCAGTAAATCTCGACATATTTTAGTAATTAGGAATAGCTTAGCGGAAAGGGCTGGACCTGAAAAAGGTTAACCACACAATATTAGAGTTTCATAACTAATTACAATACAGCTTTATCAAATTCCACATAAAGAAACAGCACAAAAGGACCATTTAAGATCGAACCGATTTTACCTGCTGTACTATCATTTTATTGATTTCAATGATCAAAACCTCTGTCAATCTTGCCAATCTATACCGGGTATCTGAATGTACCGGACCTCTTATTTACCTCTATAATTAGACCCAGTTGTGCAAGAAATGCGATTTCTCACAGGGGTTTCTTTAAACTGTGCACTTTTTGTCACTCTCGCAACTCGCAAGAGGCCTGGTATTATAGGGGGGGGGGGGGGGGGTATAGGAAGCGAGTGTAAATATACCTTCCATCATCCATTGTGGCTTTTTTGTATTGTGAATGCGCATGCCGCTTCGTTTGCTATGCCATATACCTCGAATAACCCCCATATGTCATTGCCAGGGTCGGGATAGAGCTGGAGATAGCATTGAAAAGTTGCTAGAAATAGCTAGATTTAGAGTAAACTGGTGGTAGCTGGGTGGTGCTAGCATGGATGTAGCAGAACGTAGCTACACGGGGTTTCATTGGAGTTGGTTATTTTAATGGCCAAAGAGTGCCGGAACTAAAGTTACTTAAGATTGCAGTTTAGGGGCAGTGTAAACCACGGTGTAGTCAGGGACACAGAGCTACAGTGCAGGAGTACTGCAAAAGAACAGTGCAAGTGATACAGTCTGCAACAGTAAAACTCCGAAGAAGGAGATAAGATTGTGGCTGCAGAGGAGGAGAGTAGCTGGAACCTGATTGTGTTTGTGTTGAAAGAAGAGGAGGAAGAAGAGTTTCCTGCTCTGGTAACTGTATTTTTGGAAGAGGTGGGGTGAGAACTTATTTTCAAGCGACAAGGGTGGGCTGGAAGCAACCAGATACAGCTATCCGACCTATTAAGATCACCGTCCTGAGCTTAACAGCATTTCATCAGAATCTTATGAAAACAGAGAGACTGACCCACCCTTTTTAGATCCAACGAAACCCTTTATATAAATCGACTTTTCTGCATGAATTACTTCATGGTATCTTCTTATCAAGGCTACAGACCTTGCCGTACCGGATTTATTGATCAAAGTGAGTCTCTTTAGCCCTCTTCTTCTTTAGAGCTTTAGGTTAGTGATCAAACTCTTCGCTACTCGCTCTTCACTGGATCTATCAGGACAGATTCACATCTTTTTAGGTCTCAACCAGCCTTAGTTTTCCTGTTTTCATCATGTAGTACGTTCTGCTACCTCCATTTTAGCACCACCCAGCTTCCATCAGTTCACTCTAAGTCTAGCTTCGTCGGCGTTTTACTGTTGCAGACTGTATCACTTGCACTGTTCTATTGCAGTACTCCTGCACTGTAGCTCTGTGTACCTGACTACACCGTGGTTTACACTGCCCCTAAACTGCAATCTTAAGTAACTTTAGTTCCGGCACTCTTTGGCCATTAAAATAACCAACTCCAATGAAACCCCGTGTAGCTACGTTCTGCTACATCCATGCTAGCACCACCCAGCCCCCCCTATAATACCAGGCCTCTTGCGAGTTGCGAGAGTGATAAAAAGTGCACAGTTTAAAGAAACCCCTGTGAGAAATCGCATTTCTTGCACAACTGGGTCTAATTATGGAGGTAAATAAGAGGTCCGGTACATTCAGATACCCGGTATAGATTGGCAAGATTGACAGAGGTTTTGATCATTGAAATCAATAAAATGATAGTACAGCAGGTAAAATCGGTTCGATCTTAAATGGTCCTTTTGTGCTGTTTCTTTATGTGGAATTTGATAAAGCTGTATTGTAATTAGTTACGAAACTCTAATATTGTGTGGTTAACCTTTTTCAGGTCCAGCCCTTTCCGCTAAGCTATTCCTAATTACTAAAATATGTCGAGATTTACTGAACTCCAACTTCAAATATTGATGATTTTAGTATTCCCCAATCTAAAAATCTTCGAAGTTTTTCTGCAAAGCATTTTTATCCACGTTTCATGCAATTCGATCACTTTTGGCGGAAAAAAATATTTTCAAATTTTCAAACTTTTTTTTTGAAGTCTCGAAAAAAAATTTTAAGTGAAAAATTTTTGAAGTTTTTCTAAAAACTACATTTCTCCGTGTTTCAAACGATTTCAATCATTTTGAGCCAATAAAAAATTTTCACTTTTTTTGGTGATTAACTAATTGGTAATTATCCAATTAGCTGATTGTCCAATGTAAAAATTTTTGATGCAAAAGTTTTACTCCTTGATAAGATAAACATTCTAGGTTAATTTTCAGCCTTCTACGACGTTCACAACTAAAGATATTTGGCAAACCAGAAAAGTGGTACAAAGGTGGTAAAAAGTGGTAAAAGTGGTGTTTCTGTTGAGATACAAAATTGGCAACAAGTCTAATTATGTTCGTAGGGGTCCTAACTACCATATTCCGTTGAGAAATCCTTGTGAACATTCAAATCCAACGGAACCCTTAAATCGACCACTTTTCCCCTTACTATAATTTTAAACTCTCCCAATTTTCGGAGTTTCGAAAATGTACTGTAGAATTTTCAAGTGGAATGTAAATATTTGTAATTTTTTGCTTTTCTTATGTTCAATTTTTAAAGATTTAAGTTTAAGTATTTATAAACAACATTACAGCTATCTAAACCAAGTGGGATGCAACGACTGTGAAGAAAAAAGATGACCAATGAGTAATAGTTAAAATTTGTCGTTGCATCCCCCTCCCTTTGATTTAAACCTCTCATTACAATTTACTGCTACAATTGTTTAAGAAGGTTTAAGAAGCATTTGGTGGCTCTTACCGACCAAACCATTCCCATCAATAATTTCAATATATTTAGCAATTTGATAATTCACTAACTAACCATCTTTTCTTCTATAGCAAGCATGGCTAGAGGTCCCAAGAAGCATTTGAAGCGTCTGAACGCACCCAAGAAATGGATGTTGGACAAGCTTTCCGGAAAGTTCGCACCTCGACCCAGCGCAGGACCCCATAAACTGAGGGAGTCAATGCCTCTGATCGTTATCATCAGGAACAAGCTGAAGTACGCACTTACCTACAGCGAGACTAAGAAAGTCACCATGTCTCGTGCCATCAAAGTTGATAACAGAGTCCGAACTGACATTGGCTTCCCTGTTGGATTCCAAGATGTTATCACCATCGACAAGACTGGCGAGCACTTCAGAATGCTGTTTGACGTAAAAGGACGTTTCCTGATTCACAGAATAAAGAAAGAAGAGGCTGCTTACAAGCTCTGCGTTGTAAAGAAACTTTCAACTGCTGCTAAGGGAATCCCAGTACTCATCACCCACGACGGACGTACTATCAGGTATCCAGACCCAGACTGCAAGGTTCACGACACCATCAAGTTGGACATTGAATCTGGTAAGATCCTCGACCACATCAAATTCGAGCCCGGCAACCTTGCCTACATCACTGGAGGTCAGAATTGTGGACGTATCGGAATTATCACCCACAAGGAGAAACATCCTGGAAGTTTCGACATTGTGCACGTCAAGGACTCAGTAGGTCACAGTTTCGCTACTCGACTCAGTAACGTGTTCCCCATCGGCAAAGGCAAGCAAGCCTGGATCTCACTACCAAGAGGCAAGGGAGTCAGACTGAGTATCGCAGAAGAGAGGGACAGAAAACTTGCAGCTAAGGCCAAGGAAATGTAAATTATTGATAATTTTTTAATTTATCCTAACCGGGTTGTTTCATTGTCTCCTCGATTTTACATATAACAAATGATAAAACCCACTTAAAAGTGGCAAATTCCAACAAAATCTCAACTTTGCGTACGGCGCAAAGACTAGATTACGTTTCAACTCAGAGACAGGTCGCATTACGCCAAAAAATTTTGCGGCGCGCACGTACTCAAATCGGCTATCAGACACCAATCTATATAACAGAGAAACACGGCTGACCTAACCGTGTTTCAGGAGTGTCACACTTGCCTCCTACCTGGATTGAAAGTTCTGCACAAGGCACTGAAGGAGAAAGCTGATGAATTCGCTGATATTATCAAGATCGGACGAACGCATACCCAGGTACAGTGAATATTCGTAACGACTTAAATCCCGCCGAAAACTGCGCAAGCGATATATTTGCTGAACGATCTGACTAAGTGATACTAGAGCATCTAAAATATACTTTCGGCACTCCAGTCTAGCTCCTGAACAAGTCCTTCCCAGGACGCCACTCCCCTTACGCTGGGACAAGAGTTTAGTGGATATGTAACTCAAATGGAGTATGCTATTGATCGTGTCAATGATGCTTTACCAAGAGTCTACCAACTCGCTATTGGTTTGTTTCTTCACTGTCTGCTAAGCTTACTTTTTTAATTTAAACACAGTTGTACACGTAAAAAGGTTGAAAACCTTAATTTTAAATGATCCTCACAATTTATGACAAGGATGAGAGTAAACAGAGCTGGTATGAAACAGAGTACTTAAACCACACAAAAGCTTATCCTAATCCTCTCATAGGCGGTACAGCTGTGGGTACTGGCTTGAACACTTACAAGGGGTATTCTGAGGACGTAGCGGCTGTTCTGTCTGAGAAGACTAAACTCCCTTTCGTGTCAGCCCCCAACAAGTTCGAAGCTCTTGCTGCTCACGATGCCATGGTAAATTTAACTCGTTAATTTCCTTTTATTTCGATTCCTCGCAGAGCCATTATTTGGGATTATTTTTCTCTTAAATAACCTAGGGTGAAATAAATAAGACAGCCTCTGTGAGCTAACTATTGTTAACACCCCTGTTTTACAGGTGGAACTGTCTGGCGCACTGAACACGATATCATGTAGTATAATGAAGATAGCTAATGATATCAGATTCCTGGGGTCAGGACCTCGTTGTGGTCTGGGAGAATTGTCTCTGCCTGAAAACGAGCCTGGTAGCAGCATTATGCCCGGCAAGATTAACCCCACACAGTGCGAGGCTATTACCATGGTCGCGGCTCAGGTGAGGATAATGGTTAACCAGGGTTTTAAGAAAGTTTAAATATTCTGGGTCAGGCATTTTTATTGAGATCATATTTCGCGTCTTACAATGCTTGTGGCAGATTAATACTATCTCTAAGTTACAAATATTTTGCAGGTTATGGGTAACCACGTGGCAGTAACAGTAGGCGGAAGTAACGGACACTTCGAACTCAACGTCTTTAAACCCATGATGGTAGCTAACGTTCTCCGCTCTACTCGTCTCCTAGGTACGTGTGTTCACTGTTCACTGTTTTTCTGTGGAATCGCAACCTTGTTTTTACTGACGTCTGCAGTAATCTCAGTAGCAAATTTCAACTGACAACACTTTAGTAGAGGGAGTGTAGTTGAAATAATGTAATACGGTGTTAGTTGATTTATTGAATCTCAAAAGACTGCTCTCAGTGGTACTTGTTTTCATAATAAATATTTAATTAAAGTAAATTATGTTTTCAGGTGACTCGTGTGTAAGTTTCTCTAAGAACTGTGTGGAAGGTATTGTGGCTAACAGAGATACGATAGATAGACTTCTGAACGAGTCTCTGATGCTGGTGACCGCTCTCAACCCTCACATTGGTAATTTCACTTTCACTTTCTCTTTTACATCTCCTTATCTTTTCACTTCATGACATGAAGTTCATGTAAACTGTAGACATATCAGTTGTCACACCCATATTATTTGATAACAGGAAACTCATTGTCATTACTTGATTATGTATCTCACTCAGGTTACGATAACGCCACTAAGATTGCCAAGAAAGCTCACAAAGACGGCACAACCCTGCTCCAGTCAGCTCTGGCTCTGGAACTGCTCACTGAGGAACAGTTCAAGGAGTGGGTCAGACCCGAACTTATGCTCGGACCTAAATAGATATTGGAAGATAAGATACGAAGTAGGCTAAATGTGGGAGAAACAGATCGAGTCTGAGGAGGTTTTGATACAGATAAAGGAAGTACGATGGCAGGACTTGTGTGAGAGAAAAATTGGTTGTGTCATTTCTCAACATAGATCTAAATTTAGTAACAAAGCCCTCGAGAATCAGACGTTCGTCATCATGAAGTTTCTTGGAATGATTTTTTACATCGTAATGGTCGGGTCAGGTTAAAAATTGCATATTTTATCTCAGTACATATTCTTGACACATATTATGATACATTTTTCTAGCGCTCCGCTAGTTTGGTTTTAAGCCCTTCCTTTCGTCGTTATAAATTCCCATATCCAAAAAAATTTTAATTTCCTACATTCTCAATTTTTTCGTTTTCTGTGGGCCGCTCGCTTCGCTCGCATAAAAAGTCTTTGTATTCGCGTGGTTCAAAGATTTTCCATGGCGGATTCCAGATTCTCAATTTTACTTTTTTAGGGCCCGGAACAGGGACGTAGCCATGATTTTTCTTTGAGGGGGGCTGCTGGCGAGCGAAACGATTCGACGCGTCCAATCCAGCTGCGCAGCGAGCGAAGCGAGCAAGCTGTGGCAGGGGTCTGGGGGCGCAGCCCCCAGCCGGGTCCAGGGGCGGAGCCCCTTGGCAGGGGCTAGGGGGGCGCAGCCCCCCGGAAAATTTTTGCGAAACAGGGTGTTTTAGACGACATTTGGCATTAAAGAAATTTGTAGGACAGCAATAAACTGGGATTGAAAAGAATCAAGTACTCACGTAAATTTGGTAACTTCACAACAGCAATCTGCATTCTCCAATCAGAATTTACGACTTACTCAGGCCTCATCGTCTTAAGATTTTTACATTTCCTACGGTCTAGGGGACACTACTGACTATTTATAGAAGTCTTCTAGAATGTTTGCTTGGATTTAATGACAGATATTTACTAATCCACAGTTCAAATCTTTGACTGACTGCAGTCATAAACACAGCCCAGTTACCAGGCGACCATGGGAACTAGGGGGCTTATCTTTTTTCTGGGGTTCGATTTTTTTCGGGGGGGGGGGGCTGCCGCCCCCCTAGCCCCCCCCCCCTGTCTACGTGCCTGGCCCGGAATGCTTTTTAATAGATAATCCTAGGTTACTTTTGGGGGCGAAGCCCCCGAAAATTTTGGAAATTTAAACTAGATTTGGCCTCCTGGAACGAATCTGACAATGGAGAACGATTTTAGCATACTATTTTCTGATTTCAATTTTTATTGGGATAAATTGTCTGGATTCTAGAATCCCTAAACACTTGGCTTAACTAAAGCACGAAATAGGAGACAGCATGAAGTATCAAGAGTTTATAATTTTGGCAAAAATGTTTTCTCATCTACTACCATCACTTTCTGCTTTCAAGCCCGTTTCATAGACTAGATAAGTAGATAGTAAAATGTTAATAAAGTAATAATGACAACTATTTATGTCGTGTACGCGAAAATGCACCAATAATTAGCATCTGGTTAGTGGTTACTTGATGCACAGATTTTGTAGCTAATAGCAACAAACTTTGGTCTGTGAAACGAAATTTGATAGACTGGATCAGTGGATCCCTGACTGAGGACATTTAAATAACGGTCCAGCAACTTTTAGTCTGCTCTTTCACTTAAATTCCTACTGAAATATTATCGAAAATTCTCAGAGTTGGCTCTCGAATTTCCTACTTTTTGTCAAAAATTTCCTACTTTTAAAAATTTCCTACATTCTTAGAATGCGAGAATGCGGGTTTTTGGATATGGGTATAAATTATTGAATGAGAATTAGTTTTGTAAATTTGTTTTGTAAATAATTGAGACGTCATGGAAAACCAGAAAATGTAATTTTGTTTCAACGCAGATTTCATAATAATTTACCTTTTCCTCACCACGTACTTTACTACATACCATTGAACAAGGCTTCATTCTAAATACCAAAACACAGTTCCGGTATCGTAGAAGTGTGATACCTTGCATGTGTTTGTTACCATGGTAATTTGATGTATTATGCTGTTTAATGAAATTTTACTGCATGTCCTAATTTTCTCGACATAACACACATCGTGTTTTGGGAAGCAGCATTGTGTTTTAACAGTTATCATATTTGCCTTGGGTTGGCTTGAAAAACATTTTGGGTGTTAATTTAGTTAATCAGTGTGGCTAGCCCCGTTTAATTTCAATTGTGACCTTGTTCGGTACGTGTGTTTTGTATATTGTGAGACGTTTCACCCATTTTTCTGTAGTGAAATGTTTGCGGACATATCACTCTCTTGTTCAGTGGGTTGTGAATCTTCCAGGCTGCTTCACAAACATTTCAATCTGACAGTGGGTTGTAAATCTTCCAGACTGCTACACAAACATTTCACTCTGACAGTGGGTTGTCAATCTTCCAGGCTTCTACACAAACATTTCACTCTGACAGTGGGTTGTGAATCTTCCAGGCTGCTTCACAAACATTTCACTCTGACAGAGGGTTGTGAATCTTCCAGGCTTCTACACAAACATTTCACTCTGACAGTGGGTTGTAACTCTTCCAGGCCGCTTCACAAACATTTCACTCTGACAGAGGGTTGTGAATCTTCCAGACTGCTTCACAAACATTTCACTCTGACAGTGGGTTGTGAACCTTCCAGACTGCTTCACAAACATTTCACTCTGACAGTGGGTTGTGAATCTTCCAGGCTGCTACACAAACATTTCTCTCTGACAGTGGGTTGTGAATCTTCCAGACTGCTTCACAAACATTTCACTCTGACAGTGGGTTGTGAATCTTCCAGGCTGCTACACAAACATTTCTCTCTGACAGTGGGTTGTAAATCTTCCAGGCTGCTACACA